TTATATAATGAAATTTTTCTATTTTTTTATAAATAAAAACATAGAATCATGTATATTGCGATTTTCTTGTTTGAAAAAACCACATTTATACAAAAGTAAAATTTTCAAATTTAGGAGACCTCCCGCCTAAAATAAAAATCACGAATTATATTAAAATAATAACAGTACTCTAACAGGACTAAACGTAAAATGACCACCCCACTAAAGAAACTTTCAATAAAATTAGAAACAATAACATATATATATCTCAATAAGTTCAAAACATAGTGTTTTATGTTTTTAAATTATGTTTTTTTAAAAATATAATTTGTAGGGGTGAGAGTTTGAATTTATGACCTTTTGAACTATGCTCGATTTGGCATGTTCTTATATTATGTTAAATCATCAATCAACTCATAGGTAAATTTAGGGGTTAGGTAAATTTAATTTTATAGATATTTTAACCATCGATATTTTTTTTCTTTTTTCGAGAGTCAATTGTATACTTTATTTCCACGAATACATTATATATAGTAAAAAATATTTTTGGAAATAATTTTTTAACAAATTGAAAATTTGCTAAATTCTGCTCGCCAAATACGTCAATTCGACGTCTTAACAAACTTGCGGTTTTTCATATTTAATTCAAACGGGTTTCATAATTATTCTATTTTAAGTCAAAATTAATGTCAATGAAAAATGGTTATTGTAAAGATTCCTTTCTCTTCGAAAATATTAATAGATTTTGAAAATAATTCAAGTAGGGAACGGTTTCTCATTATTAGGTATTCATAATTTATTTGAATATTATTCAACCTACAATCATTCACTAAATATAATATAATATGAAATATACCTCCTCTTTTATGATAAGATAGGAAAAATCTTTTAAAAAATTTATTTTAATCCCTTGACAATAGTAGTTACCGTAGTGTAGGTAAGTGTTAGAGATGATTTATCACCAGCCACGTGTCGACATCAGAGATCATCAATTATCATGATGGTCAAAAAAATCAAATGCAGAGAATCACGAGAAGCAAGTTTATAAGCAGTTTCGCAGTCGAAACCAAATCGAGCTAGATCTTGTCTATCAACCGACCTTTGCCAATTATGAGGCGACCTTGAAGATCCTCGACAAGACACCATGTTCTTAAGTGATCAGAAGTCTTGTCAGGAGCTCGCCTTAGAGAATCTGCCTCATACAAGATATGCAAAACAATATTCTCTCGAGTAATGTACTTGAATGTCGGAGTGTTAACTCTTACGTCGGTTCATTCAATCCGAACTTCGTGATCAAAGAATAAGACTTCTTGATTTTTGGTGAAAAAACATCAAAATAATTTTTTTCAATTGATGGAATGAAATATATCAACTCTATCGATCATATTAAATTATAAAAACAAATTAAAATCGATAAGTTACTGTTAAAAAATGACAAAATCAGACTCATATAATCAAAATTATCTCAAGCTAAAATCATCAAAACCGACTTCTAATCACAACATTTTCATCCATCATTTCCAATTTGAATTTACACGGTCAAATAATTTTTTTTTTTAAGTGAAATGAGTTGGAGATTAATGAAATGAAAACATTATTGAAAATAATGAAAAAAAAAGTGTAAATAAAGAAAGATTAGTTTAGAAATTGACCCCCAATTCCATTATATTAAATATTAATATATTGTAGACTAAAAACACTTGCCCCTACCATTGTTGTCCATGTTACTTAGTTGGGATACAGTTAACCCTGTTTCCAAACGGTCCATTTAACTTCCATGAAGCTTCAAGCTTAATTAGGGTTGTGAGATCCATCCAATATCATTAATTCCCTATGATGTCTCTTCTGTCCCTACTTAATTATATAATAATAATGTTCCAATTTTTAGTCTAAACCCATATGATTTTGTTATGGAAATGCACATGCATAATGTTTTTTGAGGGTATAGGAAGGTAAGTTAAGTTCGTTTTTTAGTCAAATTTGATGTTCAATCCACCCCTTAAAATTGACACTGACTTTGAAAAATCAAAATCTAATCAAATTGATTCTCTGATTGATCAAAGCTGAATTGAATGAACCTAAAACTAACTAAAATTGATTCGGTAGCTAATTTTTAGTTTTTAATTTCATGTAGTTGTGTTAACATCGTACTGATTTGTGTTGCCAATTTGATATAGGATGAGTTTGAGATAACTTTTGAGAAAATAAAAATACTTATTCTATAACCGTTTTTTAATAAATACTAATAAATTATTTAAGCAATTTAGTATAAATTTTTTTATCATCTTATAAAACACTTTAAAAATTTTGAAGAATTACTTTTACCGACTAAAATCACTTTTCACCTCTCCGAAATATTTATTTTTCTACTACTTACGATCGAATTTAAAAATGTCAAGTTTGTGTATTTTGATTATAAATTCATTTTTACAACCTACTTAGTATTTATCCAATCTATAGGTGAATTTATAAGCATATACCATTATCTATAGCTGAATTTATAAACATATTCCACTAAAATATATATTTTTAAGTATAATAAAAGTGATGTTTAATTGTCAAACTTTGTTGCTTGCAGATAAAATTATCCTATAAGCTACGGCTCAAAATTATAAATGCACATTTAAATACGTAACTCTATCTTAAATGATAATATATTTTTCAACTGATTGAACAGATCTGTTTCGAGTAGAAAAATCTATAAAAATATGTAGGCTAATTTAGAAGATATTTACGAATGAATTTGGTTGACAATTTCAAAATAACTTCTAAAGTATATCAAATCATCTATTAAATGCAATCTCATATGATGGGCCCATTCTGAATTTTTTATTTAAATGTGAATCTTGGTGGAGAATTTTTAAAAAAATGGACATATAGCCAGAAATGGTGAATTTACTATTGAGGACATTAAACCATACACGCCTTCTCTGGATAAACCAAAAAAATAATTCAATGCTTCAAAAAGCAAAAATTATAATAATTCAAAGAACGCAGAGGTTAAATCATAACTTTAATTTTTATATTCTAAATATGGTATCTATATAGTTTCTAAATTTTTAATAAGTTTCAACCACGTGTTTAAATTTTGAATAAAAATACTAATTTCTTCAGCTAATTGCCGTATTACGTAATTTAATTAAAATTTTGGGGAGTCTGTGTATATGATAAAATAAGCTAAATTAATTGCAAATATAATCCTAATATTATGAATTTGAAAGTATAGCAAAAAAGGGGAGAAAAAAAGAATCTAACTCAAGTTCACTCACGAAAAATACCAAAATGACTTTGAAACATTTATCAATCTTGTTCTGGGGTGAACCCGACCGCCACGTATCCCCGCAAGGAAAACATACCGATTTGACTGATCATCCCGGTGAAGAGACCGGTGTGTATAAAGGAAGTATCACTTATCCGCAACTGACCTCCCACGACGTCGGATTTGGGGAATGAATGAATGCGGTCAAATGCCGCCCGTAATTCCCTGACTCCACTTGATCTGCAGGGTGCATCGCGGGAGGATGTGCGTCAATGTTCTCCCGACTTACCTATAAGACGAAATAGTAAGTATGAATGGACAAAATAATAACTATCATGAGTGTTTTATTGGTCCAAAGAAACTAGGATTAATTGTTACTAAATGACCCTTCACTTTGAGTTTGAGTGTCATTCCATTTTTAGATTCACCTTAAAGGTGGTCACTTCTTTTTTATCTTATAAATTGAAATAATTTTTAAAAATAATTAAAAAAATTAAATTTTTTTTTTTAATACAACATATGGTGTGAGTGATCGAACTTACAACATATTAATTAGGTATATATACCTCGCTTTGATATATTTTTAGTTCAAATGTTGATTAGTTTAAAACTATAAAATAAATCGTGAGACATATTTAATCTTCTATTATGTAGGGAGGAAAAATATTTTTTTAATTAACAAAATTTTGAAACTCATGCCTATTAAATATTTGTAAAATCAAGTACTTAGAAATAACAAAAAAAGAAAGAAAAAACAGAAAAACGGTGAAGCAAAACTGAAAACACATTAAATTATTTTTTGAAAAACATTAAACAATTTTATAAAAAAGACATTATATAAGTCGGCCAGCAACTGTTATACCAACCCCCAAGTCTTTACTATCTTCTTTTATTTATTACAACCAATATTTATTGTTCTTTAAGCAAAAATTCAGAAACAAAATGGTATAATAAATAAAGAGACATCACATCTCAATTAATTCTATAAAATCACGACAAAAATTTGAGTACCGTTGTACTACTTCTTTTTATTATTTTTTTCTTTTTTACTTCAACATGTAAAAATAAAAATTTGACACTTTCCAGTATATACTTGGATAAGTTGAGTTATGTTGTATAACTATACTAATTTATATTATTTTTAAGATAATTAATTTATAGATTGAAATAGTATAAAAAATATCAATGTAGTTAAACTATTGGCTTATTTCATCTTAAAAAATAATATAATAGAAAGAAAATAATAAAGTCCGCAATTTTAGTTCAAATTTAATTTTTATGTATTTTTTTAATTGACATTAAAATACATTTTAAATACACTCATTTGAAATTCTACGGATTACAGACGACTGAACTTATAAATATGTTCGTGGTGCTTATAATCCTAATAAGTCTATCATCTATTGTCCAGGGTGATGTGTATGCTCGTTACGCGTTTATTTAAGTAAACAACTTTTAACAGGGTCTACCTGTAATTTACTTTCATTAATGAGTTTTTCTCTTATTTGCTTCACTCGAAATGTGAGCCGTGTTTCTAGTGCTATTGCTTACTTGCACGAGACTTCCGTGGTCGGTATATCTTACACATTTCGGCCTTGATCTTGACATCCATTTTTATATACATACATCTTACCCGGCGATTGAAAAATGATACGATTGGGGTAAAAGTGAAGTTGTAAAAGTGAAATGGAAGCTAAGTTGAGAGAATAAACCGCGGTTAAAAAAGGGTAGTAATAAGAATTAACCACAGTTGGGAATCAAATTCCGCAGGTGAGAGCATAAATAAATACCCCCACAACTACTTCTCGCGTTTCCATCTCTCTCTCCTCTCTCTCTCTTAAGGTTTGGCAGAGCAGACCCAAACCTCATCTTCCTCTTCTTCTTCTCTTTCTTCTGCATTCGGGTACGGACTTCTTCATTCGGGTACACAAACCCTAATTTTCAGCTCCGATCCAATTAAGGCTGCCAATTTCTGATTCCGCTTCAGGACAAACTTCGAAGCATTCATGCCATTCTTCTCCCTCTCGACCACCATTTTTATTTAATCCTTCGCCATTTCTCTGTTTCTGGTATCGGATTCCAATGCGAGCACTGCATCTTCTACAACAAGCTGGAAGTTCGGTTCATTGTTTCTTAATTTTGGGCTGATTCGCGCAGTGTTGGAGATTCGATTCCCCTTTGCAGCCTTGTTTGAACGGTTTTGACATTTTGGTTTTTCGATTTTGGATCTTCGAGGGAGGGGGTTTGAAATAAGATGTTAGGAGAGCTCGCCCGGGAATCAGACGGGGAGCTAAGCTACGAAGCGGCGGTTAATTCGAGTCAGAATTCTATGAGCAGTGAAAGTTGCAGCAGCTTTAGTCGCCTCTCGTTCGATGCCGCGATCGATTTCCCGACCTCGCGATCCTCGCCGGAGAGTCTCGATTTGAAGCCTCACCGATCGTCGGACTTTGCCTACTCCGCCATTCGTCGCCGGAAATCCAAGCTTACCTTCCGCGATTTTCGGCTCCTCCGCCGAATCGGCGCCGGTGACATTGGCACCGTCTACCTGTGCCGGCTGCGGAACTCGAGCGACGGCTGCTACGACGACGAAGACGATGATCCGTGTCTGTACGCCATGAAAGTGGTGGATAAGGAGGCGCTGGAATTGAAGAAGAAGGTGCAGAGGGCGGAAATGGAGAGGAAAATATTGAAGATGCTGGACCATCCGTTTTTGCCTACTCTCTACGCTGAGTTTGAGGCGTCTCATTTCTCCTGTATCGTCATGGAGTTCTGTTCCGGCGGCGACTTGCATTCTCTCCGCCATAAGCAGCCGCACAAACGCTTCTCTCTCAACTCCGCGAGGTACATTCATATGCTTAAACTAAACATTATTTTTCAACTAATATCATCTCCGGAAACACTGAGATACTATATAGATTCTTGGAAAGCTGCAACTCTTCTGGAACGATTAAAAATAATCATCCTCTGTGAATTTGAAATTTTAATTCATATATTTATTTATTTATTTATAATTGTATTACGGTTTTCAGTATGTTTTTTGTTTGCTTGTGGTGTGAAACCTGAGATGTTACAATCTTGTCTGCTTTAGCTTTCTGTGATGTCTCCTTCAATGGAAATTATTCAATTTTTTTTCTTCATAATTATTTTCTTTCGTTTTTTTAAAAAATATATTCTGCTCTGCAGCCGAGATTGCTCTGGGAGATATCTCCTCTGACTTTGCCGCATAATGGCTTTATATTAAAAAGAACTATTTTCAAGAGTGTGGATTCAATTATCCTTTGGTTTTCTTCCCCAGCTGTGTTTGCTAGATCAGGAAATTTTTGTTAGCGTTCTGATGCAACAAATGACTGCAGGACATCGACAATTTTTTCTTACACTATTCAATTTCAATCCTTTTCCTTGGAAATTAGAATATCCCGTTGGTTTTCGAGAAATTTTGAACTGTTGACTCTCTTTTCTCTACTGTGTCTCTATACAATATCCGAAAACAGAAAAGAAAGCTGAATTTCATCATCTAACTCGGCTGATTTATGTGTAATTTTGTGCATAATTTACAGGTTTTATGCTGCTGAAGTTCTTGTTGCTTTAGAGTATCTTCACATGTTGGGAATAATCTACAGAGACCTAAAGCCGGAGAATGTCCTCGTCCGATCAGACGGCCACATCATGTTGTCGGACTTCGATCTCTCTCTCTGCTCCGACGCCATCCCGGCCGTTGAATCGCCGGAATCTTCCCCGAACCCGAAATTCCAAGACGCGGCGGCGTACCCCAGAACCAGCACGGCCGCCGCCGCCACTACCCCGTTCTCCTGCCTCTACAACCGGCTTTTCCGGTCGCGCAAGGTCCAGACCCTGACTCCCAACTGGCTCTTCGTCGCCGAACCCGTCTCCGCCCGGTCCTGCTCCTTCGTCGGCACCCACGAGTACGTCTCGCCGGAAGTTGCCGCCGGCGGGTCCCACGGCAACGCCGTCGACTGGTGGGCCTTCGGGGTATTTCTCTACGAACTGATCTACGGCCGGACGCCGTTCGCGGCATCATCGAACGAGACGACGCTGCGTAACATCATAAAGAAGCCGTTGACGTTTCCGACCGCCGTATCGTCCGGCACGCTTGAGCACCACGCGCGGGACCTCATATCCGGGTTGCTAAACAAGGACCCGACCCGGAGACTCGGGTCAAAGCGCGGGTCCGCCGACATCAAGAAGCACCCTTTCTTCAAGAGCCTCAACTTCGCACTCATACGGTCCCTCGCTCCTCCAGCGGTTCCCGGCGTACGGCGGCGGAAGCCGGCGCCGGCGTCCAAACCCAAGGACAAGAAGGCACACTCGACGGGATTCGATTACTTCTGAATTAATCAACGGCGGGATCCAACGCCACGTGGCGCGCCCAGCTGCCGGATTTGTCACTGGCAAATGACAGTCAAAACGTGTATATTCGATCTGCACCTATTTTCCACCTCTCCGCGTCGACTTTGACGTATGTTTAAGTGACCTCGTCGTGATATTATATTATATTGCGATTATAACTTCGGAGAAAAAAAGAAAAATTTCTCGTAGAGGAAATATAACATTCTAAAATTATTATATCATATACTCGTGCATACAGAAAATTTCAAATTATTTCATTAAATTAAAGGTAATTATTTCAATACTAAATGCTAAAGACAGGGAAAAAAAGAAAAAAAAAGATAATTACATTTGTAGTAATTTAAAGTTACCCAAAAGATGCGTCCCAAAACAATATACCTTTTCAAGTTTCCCCCTAATTTCGGTCTCCTTTTCACTACAAATCCCCAAGACTTTGGGTTCAATATATGTTATTAATTTTTAATGTTTGTGGTTCTAAATTGACCTTTCTTCTGTCAATTTGACCTAAGTTTTGAGTTTTAATTTATTAAATTAATTCCATGAAAAATGTAAATTAGCTAGACTTCAAATTAAGTAGCAATCCACCGTGTAATATTCATTTTAATGACAATCTTGTGAAATTCGTAGTGATCTTTCTTTTTTTTTTCTTCCATTTACAGTACTTTTATTAAAAAGGAAAAAAAAACCCTATAAAAGAATTAAAGAAAATGTAAAACTAGACATCAATACATATATATATATATAAAGGCAAATGCATTAGGAGATGCTGTGTATAATATAATTTAATTTACCTTTAGAAAAGAAGGGACCCACAAATGGCAATGCTAGACATTGAAGATATTCATCATGTGAGATATTAGAACCATGCGGGGAATAAGTGGGGCAAAACCCAAGCATCAACGGCTAAGATTCTCCCATCAATTCTCCTTTTTTTTCCCCTTTCCAAATCACAAATTTCAATTTATTTTAGTTAAATAACATTATTTTAAAAAGGTATTAAATACTATTTGAGTATCTTTATTTTAAGCTTTGGTTCATTTTAGTTCTCGTACTTTTAAAATGTTCATTTTGATTTGTATATTTTCAATTGTTCATTTTAATTATTATATTTTCAAAATACTCGTTTTTGTCCCTATATACAATTTTGGCCTTTATTTAAAAAAATAAAAATCGGAATCATGCACATAATAGAAACTCTTTAATATAAAGAGTCGTGGTTATATTTTAAGAATTATAATGAGTTTGTGATAGAAAAATAAAGTTAAAAAATAAAATTAAGAAATCAAAATGATAATTTTTTCAAAGTAAAAGGATTAAAATAATATTTAAAAAATAAAGAGACTGAAATAATCTAAGGTTGATATAAGATAGATCAAAACAATTAGAACTATATTGATTAAAATAATATTTTAACCAAGAAAAAAAGGGCAAAAAGAAAGAAGAAGATAGATTTAAATCATTACAACAATTATAGCATTCGAGTTTAGAGGTAAAGCCAAAGCAAACATACCACGTAATAATTAAATAATTAAAAATAAATAAAAAGCTAGTAAAGATACTTTATAAGAAAAACAAAACACAATTTTATTTATACAAAAAGTATCAAAAATAATTTTCCATAAGTCGAGGTTGTAAAGACGGGGCATGGGGTTGGCAATGTAAGATTTCCCACGCTCCGGTGAGACGCACGCGCGGGGAGGAAACGAGAGAAGGAGTGGCGCGTGTATGGCACGTGAGAAGTCTGCGAGTGGTCTTTGAAGAGAAGTGTCAAGACGGGACCGTTTTGACAACACATGGAGTGTCCTGGTGATCACCTGCCAACCAGGCAGCCCAAACAGCCATCTTTAAAGCACTGTCTCCCTACTTGTCTTAACAGTACCCAAACAAGACAATTCCTTACCTGTCCCTACCCGCCAATCCCCCTTCGCCACGTGGCCTCAATTATATCCTAATTATTCTCTTCTCAATTAATCACAAATTTCAAGTTATATAAACCGCTTGTTATGCTTGTATAAGTTTGTGATTAAAAAGTTGTAATATTTGTAGTATAGATCTTATTATAGACTATAAGTTTGTACGGAGCATACCTTTTTATATTACCCGTCAGTTGCTGTAGATCACAAGAATTAAACATAAATCGCACAAAATTAGACTCTTGCCGGTAAATAATTCAATGACCAAAATTGAATTGATAGTATCATTCTAACTCATGCTCATTTAAGTTTTAATTGGATCGATTTTGAATTTTGAACTACAGATTGTATGACTCCCGTTTAAAAAGAAAAAACATGCGAAAAATTAAATCAAAGATGATCCGATGATGAAACACAAATTTTTGGAGAAAATTGTGCTATGTATTTACCTCTTCCAGAGAAGTGTTTATACATACACACAAACTAACTACAGAAATAAACTAATAAACTATTTACAATCTAACCCTGATACTTTTGAATTTGGGAGTTTGTAAATCTAGATTTATTAAGAGAGATTTAAATCTTAGAAGTGAATATTGAACTAGTTGGATTATTTTCTGTCAATTGGGTTATCACAAGTGA